AAGCAAGCATATTACATGGTGGGAGCAAGAGCAAGAGCGAGCAGGGAGAAAAGCTGCACACTTTTGAACAACCAGATCTCATGAGAACTCACTCACTATCATGAGAACAGCACCAAGGGGATGGTGCTAAACCATTCATGAGAAATCCACCCCCATGATCCAGTCACTTCCCACCAGGCCCCATCTCCAACAATGGGGATTACAATTTGACATGAGATTTATAGGGGACACAGATCCAAATCATATCACACTTTTTAACAGTTTCACATGCTCTTAAACTTTCTCTTCAAAGCTCTTTTTAACTTTCCCTTATGGTTCTTGTTGACTATCAATTTTGTGCAGGTATTTAGCCTTAGATGGAGTTTACTACCACTTTGGGCTACATTCTCAAGCAACATGATCCCAATAACACCCAGGCCCAGTGCACCAGAGCCTGCTGCTGGCCTCATACCGTCAACAGGCTAGGCTGCAATCAGAAGGACTTGGGTGTTATGAGCAACAGTGGAGAGTGGGCCTTCTCTATGCCACATTTCCACCACCCCCACTGTGGGTCAGAGGTTCAGCACTGGGCTCTTCCATATTCACTTGCTGTTACTGAGGGAATCCTTGTTCAGTTTCTTCACCACTAACTTATATGCTTAAATTCAGTGGGTGAATAAATTCTGGCCCAATAGCAAGCCAAAAAGTATTTCTCAAAAGGAGAGTAGTTATCTACTACTAGAGTATGGCAGGACTTTGCTTCCAAATCCTAAAGATCTGCACTGCAATTCACCTATAGGGGATTGTCAGAGGCTCCAAGATTGTCAGAGGCTCCAAACAGCATACCTATCTGCACTGTCACTTCAAGCACCATTGGATCTGCTGGATCATGTGACCCAGGTGGCAGAGCAGCTTGCACAGCAGCCTGGATCTGTTGTAGAGTCTTCTCTTGTTCTGGGCCCCACTGAAAACTAGCTACTTTTTGGATAACTTGGTAAATGAGCCAGGGTAGCATTACCCACATGAGGAATGTGTTACCTCCGAAATCCAAAGAGGCCCAGTAGGCATTGTGCCTTTTTTTTTTTTTTTTTTTTTTTTTTTTTCACTTATAGGAGGGGCCAGGTACAATAACTTGTGCTTTGCCTTAGAAGGGATGTCTGAACATGCTCTATACCACTGGACCTCTAGAAATTTCCCTGAGGTGTAAGGCCCTTAAATTTTTTTCAGATTTATTTCCCACTCTCTGATATGTAAATATCTTACCCATAAGTCTAGTGTAGTTGCTGATTCTTGCTCACTAGGTCCAATCAGCATTATCTCATTAATGTCATGAACCAGTGTGATATCTTGTGGAAGGGAAAGGTGATCAAGATGCCTGCAGACTAAATGATTACGTAAGTCTGCAGAGTTGATATACCCCTGAGGTAGGAAAGTCCGGGTGTATAGCTGGCTTTGCCAGCTGCAAACAAACTGCTTCCAGCAGTCTTTACTAACAAGTATGTCTCTCTCTCTCTCTCTCTCTCTCTCTCTCACACACACACACACACACACACACACACCATTTGTTAGATCAATAGCTGCATACTGGGTACCAGGGATGAATGTGTTAATTTGCTCAAGCAATGAAACCACATCTAGAAGAGCAAGTATAATTAGAGTCACCACTTGGTGATGTTTACAGTAATCTACTGTCATTCTTCAAAATTCATCTGTTTTCTGCACAGGTCAAATAGGCAAGGTGAAGGAGGATGTAGTGGGAATCACCATCCCTGCATCCCTCATATCCCTGATGGTAGCACTGATTTCCACAGTCCCTCCAGGAATGCAGTATTGCTTTTGGTTTACTATTTTCCTAGGTAGAGGCAGCTCCAGTGACTTCCACTTGGCCTTCCCCACCATAGTAGCCCTCATTCCACAGGTCAGAGAATGAATGTGGGGATTCTGCCAGTTGCTGAATGTGTTCCTTCCAATTATGTATTCAGAAATTGGGGAAATAGCCACAGGATAGGTTCGGGGACCCACTGGATGCACTGTGAGATGGACCTCAACTAAAACTCCATTAACCACTACACTTCCGTAAGCTCCTACTACTGGTGGACCATAGTGGTGTTTGTGGTCTCCTGGAATTAGTGGCAGTTCAGAGCCAGTGTCCAGTAATTCCCAAAATGTCTAATTATTCCTTTTTCCCAGTACATAGTTATCTTGATAAAAGGCCACAGGTCCCTTTGGGGAACATTAGGAGAAAGATTTAAGAGTATAAGTTTTTGGCAGTGTACCAGGGTCTTTCCCTAAGGAAACCTGGTTTTCCCTTCATTCACGGGGTTCTGGGTCTGAGTCTGCAAAAAGGCTCAAGCCTGGGAATTGATTGAAGGGCTGCTTATATCAAGAGAGCCTAAAGGGAAGATCAAAGGTGGCAAAAGGAAGAAGGAGGAGCAGAAACAATGGGAAGGGAGAGGTCTTGGAGGAGACTGTTTGGGGAGAGGTAAAGTTTCCCAAGGAAGCCCTTGACGTTCCAAATTATCCTTAGTAATATCATGCCAACACGACAGGAAACGGGTAGAGTTGGTGGAGCATATAGCCAGCAGGGGTTCAAAAAGGAGTGTTTTGGTAGACTGAGAAGCTCCCATGTTTTTTGACTAATAGTACTTTTATGCTTATAAATAGAGAAACTTGGGACTGTGACCCAGCTTCTGTTCCTTACAGAACCCAGCCTCTTACAAAGAGAGAAGCCTAGGAAACTAACCCAGCCTTTCCTTGCATGGGACTCTAACTTAGCTTCTTATAAACAGCTGCTTACCTGGAACTCTAACCTACCTTCTAGCATGAGAATCACTTGAACCCAGGAGGCGAAAGTTGCAGTGAGCCGAGATGGTACCACTGCACTCCAGCCTGGGCAACAGAGTGAGACTCTGTCTCAAGAAAAAGAAAAACAATCAAAATCTGTCCTCACTTTGCTTCAGTGGCCTGTCACCCAGAGGACTAGCTCAGGAGTCAGACTCATCAATGGGTCTCCAATCAGTCGGGAGTGAAGACAAAGTCCAAAGGTGCATACTTGAGAGGTGAGAAGTCTGGGGTCCAGTGAGCAATCTGATCTTCCCCAAGTTGTGGATCTTATCTGAGTTGTGGATCTTATCCGAGTTGTGGATCTTATCTGAGTTGTGACACCAAAACTGTCAAAGAAAACCAGAGATGGCCAGTAGTTAAAGCAGTGAAAATAGATTTTATTCAGAACTATTACAGTAGGGGAAAAGCTATCTCGATATAGAACTGGGCTCAGTTGCAAATACAGCATGGACAAGTAGGGATTTATAAATATAACCCAGTAGCACAGTGGGGCCAGTAGATAGAAAATGACTAAGAGGAAACATCAGGGGAAAAGGGGGATTGTTACTAAACTGACCTAACAAGATTCTTGCTGAAGGCAGGCAAGGGTGATCAAATATTAATTGGGGGATAGTAGAGGATAAGAATTTGATCAGATATCGAGGGTGATCGGATATTGAGGTTAAGGGATTCTAGCTAAACTTATTTACAGAAATCTTACTAAAATTGGGCAATGCAAAGATTTGCCCTTGGTAATCATGATCTCCAGCCAAAACCATAGCTCCAGCCAAAACCATAGCTGTTTGCCAGTTGATTCAGGGGCATGAGGGACCCAAAGTGGTTGGGTGGGAGTTTGAACTTCTAGTTCAGTGGAACCATTGTGTGTCTCCTGGTGGAAGCATTTCTCCCTTTGGAATTAAGACCTCTAGAACAGCAGAGCATAAGGTCAGAGACAAGTAGCAAACATTTTGCTAGTGGACCATTAGGGGTAATAGTGAGGGGTGTCATTCTTGGCCCAGGGCTGCCTACCACCCAGTGGGCTCAGAGGACAGATCATGGAGCCCATGAGATTATTCACAAGGCTTAGAATCTAATCAAATTTTCCCTGCTAGGCTTCAGACTTGGGACCCATGATCTCTTTTTTCATTCTGGTTTCTCCCTTTTGGAATGGGAATATCTAACCTATGCCTGCCCCACCATTGTATTTTGGAAGCAGATAACTTGTGGTCTGGTTTCATAGGTTCACAGATAGAGAGGAATTTTTCCCCAGGATGAATTATACCCTGTCTCATCCATAACTGATTTAGATGAATTAGATGATGAGATGTAAGACTTTTAGTTGATGATGTTGAGATGTGATTTTTGACTTAAGAGTTGATGTTGGAATGATTAAGGCTTTGGAGGATGTTGGGATGGGGTGAATGTATTTTGTATGTGAGAAGGACATGAATTTTGGGGGACTAGAGGGCAGACATTTATGGGTACAATTTGTCTTCCCCAAAAGCTATGTGGAACTCCTACCTCTAAATAGTTCAGAATGGAAATAGAGTCTTTACAGAGGTAATCAAGTTAAAGTGAGGTCATTAGGGTGGGCCCCAATCTAATCTAACTGATGTCCTTATAAAAAGGGGAAAGTTGAACACAGACATGTGCACAGGGAGAACACCATATGAAGATGAAGGCAGAAATTGGGTTATTACCTGCTACAAGCATACATAGAGGGAAGACAGTGAGAAGAGACCCAGGTAGAAGACAGCCATGTCACTAGAGTGATGTATTCAAAAGCCAAGGAATGCCAAAGAGTGCCAGAAAACACTAGAGGCTAGAAGATGCTAGAAAGAGTTCTCTCCTAGATCCATTAGGGAGAGCATGACCCTGCTGGCACCTTGATTTCTAACCTCTAGACATAGGAGACAATACATTTCTGTTGTTGTAAGCCACTAGGTTTTGGTACTGTGTCATGGCAGCCTTAGGACACCAATACGGAGCCTCGTTGAGGGTGTTTCTCATCACCACCACTGAGCTATTTGGGACATCTGAACTGTGTGAAGGTGTCTCCCTTAATTTGTCTGAGATTCTTCAGTCCCTTTTCACTGCTGTGATTATTACTCAGTTCCTAATGAAATGTGGTTACTTCTCCAAAGAACAAATGGAAAGCAATTTGCTGGACCCAATTCTCTATCATGTCCTGTTAACAGGGTTCGAAGTTCCCAAACCAGAGGTCATCTTCAAGTTGGAGCAAGGAGAGGGGCCGTGGACATTGGAAGGGGAAACTCCACATCACAGCTGTTCAGGTGAGTGGATGTGACTCAGGCAGATGGGGACATGAAGTAATTTTTTTTTCCTAAGGAAGACTGATACCTTTAAAATGCTGTTATTGCTTAAAGGTCGGCAACTTTAGAAATTGCTTGAGGATAGGTAGCATTGGCCTCTCGGGTGCCAAATTGTTCTCTCCCTTTATATCTCTTACTGTTACCACCTGTCTTCTTTGTTTGGCTTTCTTCCAGGAGAATTGCCTCAATTCCTATACTCTGGATCATATGCCAGGCTTCCTCACTAGAGATCTTGCTTCCTTGGATATTCTTTCCTTCCATCCCATTTTTATGCATAATCCCTTAAACCACACCCCAGAGTCTTAGATTCTTATCACATACATTTCAGTTTTACTGGATTTGACTTTTTGAAAATCAGTTGGTTGCCTCGCTTCTGTTCTTCCTAGCACTCTTGTACTTTATTCTTTCTTTCGTTCTCATCTTCTCACTCTAAGGTACCAACAAACTCTCTTCTACAGCCAGCCTCACCTCCCATTGCCTTTGTGAGTATCACCTTCAGATTCCTCACTCCTCTCCACCTTCCCATGGCCTTGTGCCTCTCTCCCGTAATCTGACTTTATGGTCACTGTCGCTTAGCATTTCTCCTTTTAAAATCCATTTAATTAATGGATTTTCATAAAATGTGTACAGAATGAAGTGTATTTTAAGTGGGCAGTTTGATAAGTTTTGATAAGGGTATACGCTGGTATAACCACCACCTCTATCATGATATATAACATTCCTTCACACAGAATGCTTCCTTATGCCCCTTGTAGTCAGTACACACAGCCCCAGGCAACCACTGACATGCTTTTTGTCACTCTGGATTAGATTTGTCTTTATTAGGGTTTTATATAAATGGAATAAAACCTTATATACTCTTTTGGATCTGGCTTCATTTGCTCACCATAATCATTTTGCAATTCATCCATGTTATTAAGTATATCTCTGGTTTATTCCTTTTGAATGAGGAATAGTATTTCATGGAATGAATATATTACTATTTGTTAATCTCTACACCTATTGATGGATAGGTGGTTAATATTTGGTTATTGTGAATGAAGTTGCAATGAACATTCTGATATGTCTTTGTGTGAACATATGTTTACCTTTTTCTTGGGTAAATGCCTAAGATTAGAACTGCCAGGTCATGTAATCAATGTATACTTACCTTTATAAGAAATTGCCAAACTGCCTTCCAAATTGGCTGTACCATTTTACATTCCCAGTAGCAATACGTAAGGATTCCTGTTGCTCCACATCCTTGTCAACACTTAACATCAAACTTTTATTTTTGCTATTGTAATGGATGTTATGATTTCAAGTTGCATTTCTCTTAGGAGAATAATGATGATCTTAAGCATCTTTTTATGTGCTTATTGACCATTTGTACATTTTTGGTGTGAAATACCTACTCAGATATCTTTCTCATTTTTTATTGGGTTGTTTGTCTTCTTATTAGTGAGTTTTAATAATATTTACTGGATACAACTCCCTTGCCAGAAATACGTATTGCTAATATTTTGTTCCAATCTGTGGCTTAAAATTTCATTTTCTTGTTGGTGCCCATCAAAGAGCAAACATTTTAATTTCAATGAAGTCCAATTTATCATCTGTTTTACTGTTAGTACCTTTTGTGATCTGTTTAAGAAATCTTTGCCTATCACAAGGCACAAAGATTTTCTCATGCTTTCTTCTATAAGTTTTATCATTTTAACTTTTTCAGTTAGGTCTGTAATTCATTTTTCAATACTGATGTCTAATTGTTCCAGAAACATTTGTTGAAAAGGCTTTCTTTTTCCTGTTGAATTCCCTTGGTATGTTTGTCAAAATCAATTGACTTTATGTGTATGAGCCTGTAATCAGGTCTCTCTTTTCTGTTCAATTAGTCTATTTGTCTGTCTGCTTTAAAGTATAGATTTTATTATTATTTAGATATGATGAAGCCAACAGATCAGCAGACAACTGCCATTGGAAAGATAGTTTTTTACAGTTCCCAAGAGGCAAGGGCATACCACACCATGCAGGGCCACACATACCACACATGTGGAAGCACCAGTGTCAGTTGGAACCTAGAAGGAGTTAGGGGAAAGCATGGGCCAGAATCTTTATTTAGGTTTTGTGGGAAGGAATAAACTAGGCAGGGTCAACACGCTAGGCAGATTTAAAATTGGCTAGTTTGAATAATTCCATTGGGCTCTAGGGTATAGGGACTGTCCATAGTTGCTTGGTACCTGTCCCTGGGGTGATTAGAGCAGGGGGATAGTGGCTCAACCTGTGAGAGCTCAATAAAAGATGTAGTTGTGGGTTTGGGATATGTGTTGGCTGGTTTGCATATGAAATGCATCTTCAAGGTCAAGTTATTTCCTAATCTGTAGAATTAGCTATCCTTGGGAGGGGCAGTCTCTCCAGGATCAGTTAAGCCCCAGATGCCAGAATATCAAGGATACAGAAAATAAGAAAATATAGTTAATAGATTATCCTTTTAGCGAACCCGTACTATCTTTATCACCATAGTTTTTACAGTAAATCTTCAATCAGATAGTATAAGTCCTTCAACTTTGCTTTTTAAAAATTACTTTGCTCTTCTAGGTCATTTGCATTTTTATATACATTTTATAGTCAGTTTGTAATTTTTACAAAAAAGCCTACTAGGATTTTGTTTGGAGTTCAGTTGACTCTGTAGATCAATTTTAGGAAAATTGACATCTTAACAATATTGAGCCTTCTAACCCATGAACGTGGTATATTTCTGAAATTATTTAGATCTTTAATTCCATTTAGCAGAATTGTATTGTTTTCAACATAGAGATCATAGGAATCCTTCCTTAAGTTTATCCCTAAGTACTTGATATTTTTGATCCTGTTTTACATGGCATTATTTTAGTTTTAGTTTTTTATTTTCATTGCTAATATAAAGTTTTTTTAATTTTATTTTTAGATTGTTTATTGCTAGTATAAGTCACTAGTGATTGATTTTTGTGCATTAACTGTATCCTGAGGCACTGTTAAATCTACCTATTAGTTTTCTTGTAAGTTCCTCAGGGTTTTTCATATAAGTAATCATTATCTCCTAAAAATAGGGACACTTTTACATTTTCCTTTCCAAATTCACACTTTTAATTTATTTTCCTTATTTTAATATCTTTCAGTTCAATGTTGAATGGAAGGGGTGAGTGTGGGCATGTTTGCCTTGGTTCTGATATTGTGGGTAAAAAATTTAGTCTTTCACCATTAAGTTAGATACTAGCTGTAGGTTTTCTGTACCTACCCTTTAACAGGTTGTGTAAGTCCCTTTCTTATCCTAGCTTGTTTCAGAGGGTTTTTTTTTTAATCATGATTGAGTGTTGAATTTTGTCAGATGCTTTTTCTGCATGTATTAGAGTAATATTATATGAGCATTTTTGTTCTGTTACTATGGTGAATTCATTAATTTTTAAGTGTTGAATTAACCTTGCATTTCTGAGATAAATACTAGTTGATTACGATGCGTTAGCTTTATTATATATTTTTGGATTCTACTTACTGATATTTGGCTTAAAAGTTTGCATTTTTCACGAGTGATTTGGTTTATGGATTTCTTTTCTTTCAGTGTCTTTGTCATGTTTTGATATTACGGTTACACTGGCTAGTAAAATGAGTTATGAAGTGTTACCTTCTCTATTTTCTGAAATACTTTGTATGAGATTGTTATTTCTTTTAATGTTTCATGGAATTAACCAAGAAAGCCATTTGGACCTGGAGTTTTCTTGACAGGAAGGATTTAATGACAAGCCCAATTTTTTAAATAGACATAGGGCTATTCAGACTTTTTGTTTCATGTTTTGCCAGATATAGTAAGTTGTACTTTTCAGGGTATTTTGTCTGTTTCCTCTATGTTGTCCAATTTAATCCTGTTGTGGTCTGAGAGCATACCCTTTATGATTTCAGCATATGATCTATCTAGGGTAATGTTTTGTGTGTCCCTGCAAAGAATGTATATTCAGCTGTTGATGGGTGCAGTGTTCTATAATCTATAACTCAAGCTGGTTCCATGTTGTTAAGGTCTTTTAATAATGTGTTACCGATTTGTCTTCTACTTGTTCACTCAATTATTTGTAATTTGGGTGGGTTAAAAATGACAAAGAGATTTTAAAATTTATATGGATATGCAAAAGACCTAGAATGGAAAACACAGTCTTGAGGAAAAAGAAAAAGTATGGAGGATTGACACTACCAAATGTTAAGATTTACTATAAAGCTATAGCAATCTGGACAGTATAGTATTGGTGTAAAGACAGACTAATGTATAAATGGAACAGAAAGGAGAGACTAAAAATAGGCCCATTAATATACAGACAACTGATTTTTGACAAAAGTGCCAATATAATTTGAAGGGAGAAATCTTTTCAAATTGTGCTGAAACAAATGGATGTCATTATTAGGGGGAAAAATCATACTTTGACCCCATACCTCACATCCCTATACAAAAATTAATTCAAGTTCTAGTCTTATAGAATTGTTTATATTGAAATAATCTGCCAGACAGATAAAAAAATTGTTAACCCTGGAAAACATATTTTTAAAACTAACTACTGAAGAGTGTTATGGTAAAATGGTATTCTGTTATATTGTTCTGAAGAATGTCAGTGTTCTTATCACAGCAGGCAATTAACTAGGTTAGACTGACAATGGAAATGCTGTGTCACCTAAGGCAAGTGGCAACTCAGGTCGCAGTTCAGCCCTGCTTTCAGTTTTCTCTAGCCATGCAAGGTTGAGGGGTCAGCCAGAGACTTAGCAGATTTTATACAGAGAATTAGGAATTTGCTTTTTTTTTTATTCTTTCTTTTTGCGTTGACCCCTTAACCTCTAGTGGCCCTGGGTATCCAGGCCTTCTTCCCCTAATTCCTCTCACAAAAGGATGACAAGCTTTAATGGGAATTTTAGCTGCTCCACATTGCTGCTAAGAGTGCAGCTACTCTCAACAGAAACCCAAGAAAAGAGGGAACTCACTACATGCTAGTCACTTCCTCTAACTTTTGACTCACCTCCAAACAATGCCTGCTTTTGTTTGATTTTCTTTTTGTTTAGTTTTGTTTTGTTTGTTTTTCCAGAGATTATATTTACTATCGGTAGAAGAGTCGTTTTTAGAAGCTTACTTCTCCATACTGGAAGTGAACTACTCTTACCATTGATCCTTGTACATTGACCTTGTATTCCGAGACGTTGCTAAATTTTGCTTGTTAATTCTAGCGGGTCTTTTTGTGAACAAATACTGTAAAACTATCTGCATACATTATCATACCTTTCTGTCATTTCCTTTTTAGTCTATATCCTCTTTATTTTTATTTTATCTTGCTCCCAATCTGAAGGCAAAAACTTCCCATCTTTCACCATTAGGTATATTAGCTGTGATTCTTCTTAGATGCCCTTTATTAATTTGTGGCAATTTCTTTCTATTCCTAGTTTGATGAGAGTCTTAAACATGAATTGATGTTGAATTTTCTAAATGCCAAATGCTCTTTATGTATTTATTGAAATATGCATTTTGTTCTACTGATATGGTGAATTTTATTGATTTTTAGATGTCAAACTAAGCTTGCAACACACATCCAAATATCCTGTAAGTCAAAAAAGATATCACAATGAAAATATATTGAGTGAAATGATAGTGAAAATAGGACACATCAGAACTTGTGGAGCCGGGTGCAGTGGCTCATGCCTGTAATCGTAGCACTTTGGGGAGGCTGAGGTGGGCAGATCACCTGAGGTCAGGAGTTCAAGACCAGCCTGGCCAACATGGGGAACTCCATCTCTACTAAAAATACAAAAATCAGATGGGTGTGGTGGCAGGTACCTGTAATCCTAGCTATTCGGAAGGCTGAGGCAGGGGAATCACTTGAATCCGGGAAGCAGAGGTTGCAGTGAGCCAAGATGGCACCACTGCACTCCAGCCTGGGCAACAGAGTGAGATTCCAACTCAAAAAAAAAGAACTTGTGAGATGAAACTGAAGCACTATGATGAAAGTTTCTTATTTTATATATATATATATATATCTCTACCAGAAAATTAAAAAGATTAAAAATTGGCTATCTAAGTGTGCACGTCAGGACATACAATAGTGAAAAATAACAAAGCCAAAATTTGCTTCTTTGAAAGATTAATACAGTTGATAAATTTAGCAAGATCAGTCAGGGAGAAGAAAGAGAAAACACAGATTATCAATGCCATGAATGAGGAAAAAAATCATTGCAAATCTTACAAGCCTTAAAAAGATATTAAGAAGATATTATAACCAACTTTACCCCCCAAAATTTGATAACCGAAATGAAATGGACAGTCATAGAAAAATAGAAATTATAAGAAATGTCACAAGAAAAAAGATCAAAATCTTAGTAGTATTTTTATCTATTAAAGAAATTGAACTTATAATTTAAAACCTATCCACAAACAAAGCTCCCAACCCACATGGCTTCACTGGTGCTCTCGGTCATCTAGAGAAGAAATAATAGCAATATTACTCATGTTCTTTTGGAGGAAAGAAAGAGAGAACACTTCATATCTCATTTGATAGTAAATGGAACTTAATGTTTTTCCATGTTATATAACACATCACCAATAACTTTCCCCTCAGTGCCATCTGTAAGGTTACCAATGTTTCCAGTTTCAAATTTTATCTGTACAATTTCCTTTAGCTATGCCTACTTCAAATTGTTTGCCTTGTTTTTAATGCCTGCCATAAATGAAACATGTCTGTGTATCTCGGCTTTTTATTATTTTGTGCTCTGCCTGTCCAGGTAATATACATTTTCCTTTTGTGTTCAGGCTTCCATCTATTCCATGAAATGGTCCTTACTTACTTCAGATTTATGACTCCATTTTTTTCAAAGACAGAGTCTTGCTTTGTCTCTAGGCTGGAGTGTAGTGGCACAATCTCGGCTCACTGCAACCTCCGCTTCCTAGGTCCAAGCAATTCTCGTGCCTCAGCCTCCCTAGTAGCAGGGATTACAGGCATGCACCACTACACCCAGCTAATTTTTGTATTTTTAGTAGAGACAGTGTTTCACCATGTTGGCCAGGATGATCTCAATCTCCTGACCTCATGATCTGCCCGCCTTGGACTCCCAAAGTGCTGGGATTACAGGCCTGAGCCACTGCACCCAGCCTATTACTCCATTATTTATAACTCTTCCCCATTTCTGTTTCCCCATGTCCCAGATGCCTTTGCCACCATTAAATTTCGAAATGAGACCTTGTGTCTTATTTTCATTATTCAAATGCTAAGCATGAAGAAAATACTTACTGATATTAACTAATTGAATTTGTGGCAGATAAGAATAGAATTTTGCTGTGTTTTAGAAGCATTTAAAAATTCTACTGAGTGGAATTCAACACAGATTGTTATTGGAAAGTAAACACAATGGCACCAAATATTTAAAAGTTTACCCTCTTCTGCATTGTTTCTGTTATAATTAGAAGTCTATTACAGTGGTTAGCAAAATGAATAGCATAGAGAGTGCCTGCTTTTGACATTCAGAAGAAAAACATCTTACTAGCAATATAAGTAGATTAATTTTCCAAGTAAAAAATTCTTAAACTGCTTTCTGAAGCACATATACCTTTTTTAATGGCATAAAAGAAAATGCTAAGCAGACTTAATGGGGAAAGAGGACATGTCCTTTGATTTGAAAATAAACTGGACTCTTTTTTGAGGCATCTTTATGCGTGACAAGTAGAATGTAACCTTGCGTGAGCAGCTCTTTTTTCTAGACTGATGACTCTTCACTTATGTACTGTTCATAGAATCTGGGGTTCAGGAGAGGTGTAAAGAAGCTTTTTATTGCAGGAGCAAATTTTTTACAATGAACATTGGTACTAGTGATGTAATAAATAATTGTCTGGTACAGCAAGGGATTTATAATTTAAATAAAGTGAAAAGCAGAACCACTTCTCAAACCATGCCTAGGGATCCAGTCCTTAATATATGTCCAGAATAAATTAAAGCCAGATGTGTGAGAATGAAAATGCAACCTAAGAATAGGAGAATGAGATTTGGGATGGAACATGTGGCTGAAGTACAGTATCAAACCAACTAAAAGGGGACAAGTGAATTTGATGACTCAGAGCATTCTCAATATCTAAAATCTCTTACTGAAAAAGTCAGTGGTATAATTTTCTCAGGTTAAAATTATTTACCAATAATCTAATACATCTCATGCACTGTACTAGGAATAGAAACATCCATAATTCCCACTCTGGGCAATAATAATGTGTGAATTATGCTAATGCTAATTTCTAGCAATAGATTGACAAATACAGTGACTAAAATAGTAAATAATTGTATTTCCCTCTTATGGGAAACCTCATTGCTCATGATTGTTCAGGAATCCAAGCTCCATCCAACACACCTTACTCCAACATCTCAGGTTTTTTGTGGCATCTGCGTGCTTGAATCTGTGTTTCTGCCAACTCCAGGTTTAGTAAGCAAGATGGTAGAAGCAAATATGGAGAAAACATGCCGATGGTCTCAGTGCTCCCATTTGAAAGTGGCAGCATCGTTTTCTCTCACATTCTTTTTTTGAGAACACTGTCACATGGCCACACCAATTTCAAAGGAGGCTGAGAAATGCTCTATGACTGGACATCCATATGCCCAGATGCTACTCTGTTAAATGCAAAAGAACAGGGAAACTGATTCTAGTGGATAGCTTTCAGTCTCTACCACAGATGACTTGTCTTCTCTGTTATTTTTTGTTAGATATATATAATGCAAGTCCAAGAAAACAATTAAACCTGGATGGAGAGTTGGAGTATAGACATCTATTTACTGTTTGTATAGGTTAGGATGGCTATGACTACAATATTTTCATAGACATGAATAAATTATTTTTATCACATATATTTTGTATTTTTGCTGGTAAGCAAGATTAGTGAGGATTTAGAATTGAAAGCTAATGAAGACTTAAACTCCAAGCCAAGGCTCTCCTAGATCTTTCCCCTGAAAACTCTTGTATTGTCAATCTTCTGTCTACCCTACCTAATATCCAAGCTTCCTACCAAAATAGAAATAGACTGCTTATGTTGAACACCAGATCTAACACTTCATAACCGTGTTTTATGGCAGATTATGTAACTGTCATGACCTTCACTTTTCTTATCTACAAAAGGTAGATAGTAATAGTAGATAACTCATAGGACCTCTGAAAGGATTAAATGAGTTCTTATGTACAGTCATGTACCACATAATGACATCGAGTGTCTTAAGATTGTAATGAAATTGGAAAATGTCTATCACCAAGTTACATCATGGCCATTTCTGGGTTGTAGTGCAATGCATTCCCTTTTCTATGTTTAGATATGTTTAAATACACAGATACTTACTATTGTATTATAGTTGCCTACAGGATTCAGTACATTCACATACTGTATGGATTTGTAACCTAGGAGCTTCATCCAGAAGGCACACTTGATTGCACATCAAACAATTCATACTGGAGAGATGCCTTATGAATGCAGTGACTGTGGGAAATCTTTCCCTTCTAAGTCAGAACTCTAGATGCATAAGCGAATTCACACAGGAGAGAAACCCTGTACCTACTATACATCTAGGCTATATCATGTAGCCTAGATGTGTAGTAGTTTATACCATCTGGGTTTGTACAAGTACTGTACACTCTATGATGTTTGCGCAAGAATAAAATTGCCTAATAACAGCCCTCTCAGACTGTATCCTTGTTGTCAAGCTTCGTGTGATGGCATATATTTCTTAGAACAGTGCCTGGAATATTGTAAGTGTCATGTAAGAGTTTGGCACATAAAAGTGCTATATACGTATTTCTTGTCATCATTGTCTTATTAGATTTACTGATTTTAGTAAATACAAACTGTTCAGTAATACTGTGTTCAGTTTGTATTAGCTTACGTGTAACTTTTCATCTCTTGCGGTCTGTTGTTTGTATCAATTTTTCTTTTTCTTTCTCTTTTTAGATGGGAAATTTGGAATTAAGCCTTCCCAGAAAAGAATTTCTGGAAAATCTACATTTCATAGTGAAATGGAGGGTGAAGATACACAAGATGATTCATTGTATTCTATTTTAGAAGAATTGTGGCAAGATGCTGAACAGATAAAGAGATGTCAGGAAAAACAAAACAAACTTCTGAGTCACACTACTTTCCTCAGTAAGAAAATATTGAATACAGAGTGGGATTATGAATATAAAGACATTGGAAAATTTGTCCATTCAAGCCCAAATCCCATTCTTTCACAGAAAAGACCCCATAAACGTGATTCATTTGGGAAGAGTTTTAAGCATAATTTAGACTCACACATTCATAATAAAAGCAATGCAGCAAAGAACCTGGATAAAACTATTGGGCATGGTCAGGTTTTCACCCGGAGCTCTTCCTATAATCACCACGAAAGTACACATGCAGGCGTGAAGTTCTGTGAACGTAATCAGTGTGGAAAAATCCTCAGCCTCAAACATTCACTCAGTCAAAATGTGAAATTTCCCATTGGAGAGAAAGCAAACACATGTACTGAATTTGGGAAGATCTTTACCCAGAGGTCACACTTCTTTGCTCCTCAGAGAATTCATACTGTGGAAAAACCTCATGAGCTTAGCAAATGTGTAAATGTTTTTACACAGAAGCCACTACTCAGTATATATCTGAGAGTTCATAGAGATGAAAAACTCTACATATGTACTAAATGTGGGAAGGCCTTCATCCAGAATTCAGAATTAATTGTGCATGAGAAAACTCATACTAGAGAGAAACCCTTTAAATGCAATGAATGTGGGAAATCATTTTTCCAGGTATCATCTCTACTCAGGCATCAGACAACTCATACTGGAGAAAAACTCTTTGAATGCAGTGAATGTGGTAAAGGGTTCTCCCTGAACTCAGCCCTCAATATACATCAGAAAATTCATACTGGAGAGAGACATCACAAATGCAGTGAGTGTGGGAAAGCCTTTACCCAAAAATCAACACTCAGGATGCATCAGAGAATTCATACAGGAGAGAGGTCTTATATCTGTACTCAGTGCGGGCAGGCCTTCATCCAGAAGGCACACTTGATTGCACATCAAAGAATTCATACTGGAGAGAAGCCTTATGAATGCAGTGACTGTGGGAAATCTTTCCCTTCTAAGTCACAACTCCAGATGCATAAGCGAATTCACACCGGCGAGAAACCCTATATATGCACTGAATGTGGGAAGGCTTTCACCAACAGGTCAAATCTCAATACTCACCAGAAGTCTCATACTGGAGAAAAGTCTTACATATGTGCTGAATGTGGTAAGGCCTTCACTGACAGGTCAAATTTCAATAAACACCAGACCATTCATACTGGAGAGAAACCCTATGTTTGTGCTGATTGTGGGAGGGCCTTCATCCAGAAGTCAGAGTTGATTACACATCAGAGAATTCATACTACAGAGAAGCCTTATAAATGTCCTGACTGTGAGAAATCCTTCTCCAAGAAACCACATCTCAAAGTACATCAACGAATTCACACAGGGGAGAAACCATATATATGTGCAGAATGTGGGAAAGCCTTCACTGATAGGTCAAATTTCAATAAACATCAAACAATTCATACTGGAGATAAACCCTATAAATGCAGTGACTGTGGAAAGGGCTTCACCCAGAAATCAGTTCTCAGTATGCATCGCAATATTCATACATGAAAGTAACCCTGTTTCTTGAAAATGAGAGCCTTATCACAAAAGTCAGGTCTAACTATATATTATAAAATTCATCCAAGACAGATCCTATATGAATATGTTATCTCACTTGAGATGGAAAAAAATTATTCAGAAGAAACACTCTTAAGAATGCACTGAAGGAGGGAGAATTTCTATATTTGCACAGCCTCATGAAATATAGTAGAAGTCATTGGGAAAAACGTTGTCAGTTTGGTGTGGTAGGAAAAGCCTTCCTATAGAAAGTATTATAAGTCAAATTGTTACCAAATTCTTCATAGGAAGGAGAGTGCAAATTATGTAAATGATGGTCATGTTTACTGTGTTACATTAAGCAATTTAAAGTGATAACAAAATGAAAGGTAGTGCAGCAAAATAATATAACTGATGAGTAGACCTGTCAGTTCTATAGGGCATTTGTGGCAGAACACAGTACATAACAGGAGGAATATTAATTTTTTTTCAAATTTAGAATATGTTCATCAAATGTTTCTTACTGAATATGTCTATCAAATATGTTTCTTACTGAATATTTCTATCAAGTGAATCCACAGTTTAAAAGTCACTTTGGTTTTATATATACACACATCTGCAGATATAATTTTATATGAACACACAAATACAGTCCTATCATTCATACTGGTTTCCATGACATAGTATCCATGACATGTTTTCTTTGTGGTACAATGCAGAGTAGCCACAGATTCCTCCCATCCCAAGTAGCATCTCTTTGTCTACTACTTGACTTTGAACTTGGCCATGTGACTTCCTTTGGCCAATGAACATTAGCAAAGAGAATCAATAAGAAGCTTGAGAAGTGTGCAAAGCCTGCCTTGAAGCTTAACCTCTCTTGCTGCTCTTTGCAAACTTGAGAAATCTCCAATTGCCCTACTGGGGGATGAAAAACCACCACATGGAGCAGTGGTGAGCCAGCCCTGCTGAGGCCCCTTAGACCAAGTAGCCTGCCAATTGTCAGAATTAGGAGTGAGGTTTTCCCAGACCTCTACCCCAGCTGAGCCAGCCTAGCTCAGAAGAGCCATACCAGTTATTCCAGCCAATTTACAGAATTGTGAGATAAATAAAATTATTATAGTTTTAATCAACATAAGTTTTAGGGGTAGTTTGTTGTACAGAAAATGCTAAGTAATATTTGAAAGTATATGATTGGGGGAGGGGGCATAGTGGACCAAAACATGACATGTGGCATTGGCTTTGGGTCTGAGTGGCAGGTAGAAACTGGAAAAACAGTGAGGAAATCTGTTAACAAAGGTTGGATAGATGGCAACCCATGTTATTTAGTAGGGAAAAATATAGAAAAGCAATTGTCATCATACTCTGTGGGAAGATAGAGAATGGATCAAATGAACTTATGGATCTGGCTAAGGAGATTTGCAGCAGTATATGGGAAGTATCAGATTGCTTCTTTTAGCTGCATATGATAAGATACAGAAAGAGAGAAATGAACTAAAGAAATAACTTATCCATTGGCAAACAGAATTCAGAAGACATACAGAAAAGCCAAGGATTGCTGGGTTGGAAAATAACAGTTTCACATCGCTAGTCTCTCCAGCAATCAAAAAATATTCTCAAGGTAAAACATGGCCTCAGGGTAAAGATCAAATCATGGTTGTGTCTATAAGACTCTGTATTACAATGTGTGAAATAGTTAAGTTGGTGCTTAGGAGACCATCTCAGCTAAACTTAAGGGCTTCTAAAAAATCTTCATGACATTGTCCCGTAGAAGCCTGACATACTACTCAAAGCGGAGAAAGATCTATCTTTGAAACAATTTCTGATGTTGCATTTGGGGAAAGGAGTAGATCCAAACCAGATTCATAGGAAACAAAGTTTTTAATAGAGTTTTACTAGTAATACTACCTCCAGGTTGGACTTCCAGGGACCCAAACAGTTCAAAATGAAAAGTGGCCCCTGGATTCCCCTCCCTAACTTCTATGAATAGGATACAAGCTGAGAAAGTTACTCAGTTGCAAGCATGGTCCATTTCTTATGGGAAATGAAGGGCATCTCAGAGGGAAGACCCAAGAACAATATATTAAAATGGACTGAGGAGCCATTCCCAGTGAGAACTGTGCCCTAATCAAGAAACATTATCTGCCCCTGGAGCCAGGGGAACTGACATTTGCTCTGTGGGATTTCAGAATTGTTATGGAACAGTGACTTATATGTGTCTCTTGGTCCTCTTTTTGAATGGGAGTGTCTAACACAGTTATCCTGTACCTATCCCACCATTGTATATATTGGGTATGTGTTGGGGGCATATAACTTGTCATTTAGCTCACAGGTGTCTGGATCAAGAAACTGAAAAACTGTACCCAGGGAACCTCAGCCACAACTGAACCTGATACAGAAGACTTGAGATCCTGGATTGGAACGTGACACCACAATTTTGGATGAGAAATTTGGACATCCTGGAACAGGGGTGAACATATTTTGCATGATGGGTGGTAATGTGAATAATTTGTGACCAGAAGACATACTGTGTTAGATAGAAAAATGCTACAGATGTCTTCATCCCTATCTATGTGCCCTTTTTCAGTCTTTATATCTCTGTGTTTCAGTTAGAATAATTTCTGTTGATCTATCTTCAAGTTCACTGATTTTTTTTTCCCTTACCCTGGCTCTGTCAAGTCTGCTGATGAAACTATTGAAGGCATTCTTCAACTCAGTTAGATTTTATTTTTATTTCTAATATTTCCATTTGATTCTTACAGTTTTCATATTTCTGCTGAAATTCCCCATCTTCTCATGCATGTTCATGTTTTCCCCTATACCCTTTGTCTTAGTTTGGGCTGCTGTGACAAAGCACCGCAGATTTGATGGCTTATAAACAATGGAAATTTATTTCTCACAGTTCTAGAGCCTGAAAATCTGAGATCAGAATCCAGCATGGTTGGGTCTTGGTGACGGCCCTCTTCAAGGTTGCAAACTGCTGACGTCATATTTTCCCATGTCTACAGATAGAGAGCTCTTTGGGATCCCTTTTATAAGGGCACCAGTCCCATTCATGAGGTCTCCACCCACATTAACTAGCTACATCCCAAAGGCTCTACCTCCTAATACCATCACATTGAGGATTAGGATTTTAACATATGAATTTGTGGGGGGATGCAAATGTTCAGCCCATAGTACCCTCTAACATATTAATCATAGTTATTTAAACTCCCTGTCTGATAGTTCCAACTAGCAGGTCAACTCAGTCTAGATCTGTTGATTGCTTTGTCTCTTAGTGGTGAGTTGTCTTCTCTTGCTCTTTTGCATCTAATAATTTTTGGCTGAATGTCAGATGTTGTATGTAGGGTAGTAGAAACTGAGATAAATAGCAATTATTCCTGGAAATAGCCATGGTTGCCCTTTTGATAGGCCATTAGCATGGGGGGATTGAATCCATCTAGTCAGGAGTTAGGCTGAGTTTGTGCTTCTTTGTTGCCAGTGTTACCTTTGCTGTACCATAGACTTAAAATTCCTCTAATGTTATCTTGTGCTTGAGGTAGTCTCTGGTTTGCCCAGAGAATTCTTATTATTCCCAGACCACACTTGCCTTTAGGCCTGTAGGCCTTTCCTGTGTGCTAGCATCTCAGGGAGGGCCACTCTCCATGTTATTGCCTCTATATTTGTAGTAGACAAACTGTTATTACTTGGTTCTGGCTGACCTGGTGAGTCGGGGGCGGGGGTTGTCCTGGGCCAGCCTCAGTTTTTGTCAGGCCCTGCATCCCTGGGTCTTGAGGGTGAGGTTTTTCGGTAATCCTACCCTCTCCCACTGGTAGAAGGCCTTTAATGATCTGGGCCCTGAATGGTCTCCTGCCCTTTTACCATGGGTGGAATTTTTTTTTCAATTTCCCTCACTCAAGTCACAGTGAGGGAAATTGAAACTTTCCTGTGTCCTGAGGGCAACAAGGTTGCTGAACTTCTAGTGGCTTAAGGATTTTGTTCTGTAAGGGAGTAGGGTCCCACTGGGGCTTTGTGCCATTTCTATATTAGCAGCAGTCCCCTTGCAGTCCTACCCCACGGAGGTAGGCTTTCTCCAGTCTTCTTCCTTGCCCCTGTGTTTCTTGTGAGCATTCAGTGGATGTCTATGGAGAAGAGCCTGTAAGTAGAGGCCAACTACCCTTAGGTCTACAGCTCTCACGAGTCTCCCACACTCAACTTTTAGCAATTCATTAAAAATTCTTGTTGAATTCTTACTGCTTATATGGTGGCCTCATCTTCTTCCTTCCTGCTTTCAAGCTAGTTGGTTGCTCTATAATCTTAGCTCTCTGAAGTGTTCAAGAAAAATAATGTTTTTGCAGATTACCCAGCTTTATTCTTGTTATAAATGTGGGAGCAGTGTTCTTTCCAGATGTCTGCATCCTAGGCAGAAACTAGAAATCTGGACAGTCTCTACTGTCTCCTACTGTCAGAATATATGCCCCTTTTCAGTGTGACTTTGCCACTTCACCCATCAAGAGGTAGGATCTATTTCTTCACCCCTGAAACTGGGCTTGACCATTTGTTGGCCAATGGGACATCAACAAATATTATACAAGCAGAGGCTTGAGAAGTGCCTGCACAATGAGGCTTACCTGCTTTTGCAGCTCTTTGGAATCCTGAACCTGTGTGTGAAAAAGCCTGAACTGTGCTGTTGGAAAATGAGAGAGATCACATGCAGCAGTAAGATCACATGGAGCAAAGACCAGCCATCCCAGTTGAACCACCCTACACCAACACCACATGTCACAACTATCTGACAGGAATAATGCATCTATAAACCAATTAACAGCTGAGGCTCCCTAGCACCTTCAGAGGGAGCATGGCCCTGCTGATACCATGATTCAGATCTCTAGCCTCTGGAACTATAAGACAATTTCTGCTGTTTTAGGCTGCCTAATTTGTCGTAGTTTGTTATAGCAGCCCTAGGAATCAAATATGCTTCTTAGTTAAATCTATGATAGGTACTAGTGTATGAAGCCATACTAGGCATCCAGTCTTGGTCAACACAACTTTGGTTGGCAGCCTCTGACATAACTCTGAATGATCCCCACCTCTTGGTATTTGTGCTCTTATATAATGCCCTCCTCTTGAGCTTAGACTGGAATTAGTGACTTGGTTCTAGTGAAAAGAATGAGGCAGAGGTAATGGGATTTCATGTCCAAGATTAGTTACAAAAAGACTGTGGCTTCCATTTTGGGTGCTTGCTTACTTTCTCAGATGGCTCATCATAGGGGAAACCTGCCACATCATGAGATAGCCCTGTGGAAAGAACCACATGAGTGAACTTAGAATCATATCCTCCCCAAGTTTAGCCTTCAGATGAGGACCACAGCCAGATAGCTTGACTCATGAGAGACCTTCAGCCAGAGGCATCTTTTGAGCCACACTTGAATTCGTGACCCACAGAAACTGTGAGATAATAAATGTTGTTTTAAGCTGCTAAATTTCAGTGTAATTCGTTACACAGTAATAGTTTAATAATATACTGGCCCAGATTAGGAAGGTTCTGCCATCCATCCCAGCCATCCCAAACAATTACCAGAATAATGGATTAAAACATTAATTAAGTCACTAAGTTTTGGGTGGCATGATACCAACCCAGAAAAAGCTAACTGATATATTTATTATTTGTTGCATTTCTTCCTCCACTGTTCTTCCCTAACAGATAACCAATACTAATCAACTACTGAGAACGCTTTTATGTTTTCATCTCTGCTCATAATTATATATAGACATACATATGTTCCCATGCCTGTAATCAGATAGAAGTTATATAAGGATTATTTCCTTCTTTGATTTTCAAAAATGGGATCATAAATACAACCACCTCTGTAGCTTGCTTTATTATTCAACAATATTTCTTTTGAATGGTTGCATGATAGTTCATGGGGTGGATATACAATAATCTAGTATTAAACCATTTGCATTTTTAAAATTTATTCACTCCCATTTTCAACCTGTTTGTCACTGGGAACAATGCTGTTCAAAATATTAAAAGATAGTTTGCATAGTAGTTAGGTAGATAAGCTCAGGAACCCATCTGCCAGGGTTTCAATCCTGGCTCTACTAGCTTATATGACCTTGGGAAGGTTAGTTAACCTCCCTGGTCCTGATGGTTTTCATCTGTAGGTACCAGTGCAATCACACTAGTACCTATCAATGGATTTGACTAAGAAGCACATTTGTTTCCTAGGGCTGCTATAACAAAGTACCACAAATTGGGCGGCCTAAAACAGCAGAAATTGTCTCATAGTTCTGGAGGCTAGCGATCCGAATCACAGTGTCAGCAGGAACATGCTCCCTCTGAAGGTGCTAGGGAAGGAGCTCTTCCATGCCTCTCTCCTAGCTTTTGAGAGCGTCATTTGTTGTTTGGCTTATAGATGCATTATTCCTGTCAGGTGGCTGTTTTCTCCCTGTGTTTCTTCATATCTTCCCTCTGTGTGTCTGTTTCCAAATTTCCCCTTTTATAAGGACACCAGTTATATTGGATTGGAGTTCACCTTAATGGCCCCATTTTAACTTCATTACCTCTGTAAAGATTCTATTTCCAAATAAAGCTATATTCTGAAGTTCTGGGGATTAGGATTTCCACACATCGTTTTTGCAGGTAGACATTTCAACCCATTAACAAGTTAATGCATGTTGTGTAGAGCTCTTAGAACTATGCATGGAGAGAATTTCTTAATGGTTATTAGATACACCTCACTTCCGGAGCCTGCATAGGTCCCCCTACAACTCTCTGTGCTTGGGATACTGAGGTAGAATTTGAGAGCTTGTTTCTGGCATCTTAGTGTCATCCAGCGATCTAAAGAAAATATAGGTAGTAACAGGAAAAGCAGGCCTAAGACCAAAGCTTGTGCTTTGGGTCAAGAAGGATATATCTATAGAAGATAATGAGAAGGAGCAACCAGAGAGGTAAAAACATACCAGGTGAGCAAGAGGGCTCATAGAAGACAGTGTTTCCAAGCAGTGTTTTAATGGAGGACTTGTTCAAATTGCACATCAGTTCATATGAGGATGGAAAATTTGTTCTTGATTTTGTGACACAGAGGTTGCTGTTGGCTTTGATGAATGCTATTTTGGAAGTAAATTTAACTAAACAAAGCAATTGAGCAAATTCAGAGGAATTTCTGAATTCAGGTAGTGTTACTTCACCATAAAGCATTTTTTGTCATAGAAAAATATCAGGCCATGGACTGGATTACTCTGTCGTTTGGTAATCTGTTGATTACTCTGTCGTCTCATTTCTTATACTGAGAAATGAGAGTTGGCTAAAAGTGGAAATTACATGAGATTTGGAAGGCCAAAGGCAAGGAGCAACTATTGCTCAAATTGTCACTGTATCTAATCTCAAAGACTACTGTATTTGAGATTAGATACAGTGAAGGACAGATGCAGAGGTACCCAGCAGGTTCCAGTTTTTCCTATCTTCCACTCTGTATCCACCCCTTCTTTCCAGCTTCCAGTCCTGCTGACCAACAGTAGCGCTAGGTCTACCACCAGATGCTTGGCTGCAGGCTGACAAAGGCTTCTCATGGACTTCTCCATCAGCTTCTCTTTGCAGTCCCACGTCAGCAGCTACATGTGCCTGGCTTCTCAGATTTTCCTGAAAGCTCTGATTTATCCACCCATGCCAATGTCTGAAAAGGGCTGGTTTAGTGATTTCTCTAGTCTTCTAACTTCCCCTTCCAAACCTTCCCCTATACATTGTGCATGCATCCCTTATTCCATAATACTCATAGTTACTATGCTTCCCTGATTGACACATTTATACTTTATTTTCCTGTGCATTTGGTAGATTGTGCTCTTCTAAAATTAAGTGATGTTATTGAGAAGTCTTAGACAAAATTGCTCTCTTTTTTCTTGCATATAATGTGCCTTTCTGCCATATGATTCTTTTTTTATTCTTGAAGTTAAGGATCTATGGAAGCATATGTCTTGGTCCTGATTTTTGTGTATTAATTTTACCTGAGTTATAGTGAGCCATTCCAATCATTCATTTCAGGGAAGTTTGATGTTGCTTACCATTTTTTCTGATCCATTTCCTCTCTTCTTCAGGGACATCAATTATGCATATGTAAGATGTCTTTGTAATCTACATTCATTTTCTACCAATCAACATTCATTTCACATTATTTTTTTTTTTTTTGGTTTTGTATGATTGACTCTAGCCTTCTCTTCAGAGACAGTTCTCCTTGAATCTCATGTTTCTTCATGTTTAGACATTAACAAGCAACTTGCTCAGTTTTATTTACATTCCAGGATAGTAAAGACGAGAATGTCTCCCTCCCTGGAGACATTCCCAGAGAAGATTTGGTTACACTCCAGGTTAATAAAGATTACATATATATCTCCAAAGAAGAGGACGGGCAATAAAACAATATAACAAGATTTCCCCAACATCTTAATTATGTATATTTTAATCACATAGAAATATTGAAAACATACTACAATAAACACCCATATAACATCCATCTAGATTTAACAATTTATATGTAATTTTTCCTGAAATATCAGTGGTAAGTTATAGACATAACATTACACCCATAAATAATTGTGCATTCATCTCCTAAAAATAAGGACATTCTCCCACAGACCTGAAATATCATTATCAATCTAACTCTATGATATCTTATATCCAGCCCATTTCCAAATTTCTCCCATTGTCCCCAAAACATATTTTACAGTTTTATAAGGTAGAATTGGCATACAATAGATGGAACTTGTTTAAAGTCTACAATTTGATAAGATTTGCACCTTTCCAACCATCACTACAATACAAATAATGAGCATATGCATCACTCCAAAAAAGTTTCCTTATGCCTCTTTGTCATCCACCCTCTTTCCCCACATCCTTCCCCCATCCACAGGCAGTCACTTATCTGTTTTCTATTGTTATAGATTAGTTTGCATTTCCTACAATTTTATACACATGGAATAATACTATAGGCTCCTTCCATTCAGCGTAATTAGTTTGAGATTCATTTATGTTGTTATATGCATCTGTATTCATTCCTTTTTATTGCTAAGTGTTATTTCATTATATGGACTATCAGAATTTGTTTGCCCATTCATATTTTGATGGAAATTTGTACTTCTAGCTTTTGGCTATTACAAATAAAACTGATGTGAACATTTGTTTACAAGTCTGTGTGGACATAATTTTCATTTCTCTTGAATAAATGCCTAGGAGTGAATAGCTTGGTCATATGGTAAGTATATACTTAACTATTTAAGAAATTGTCAAACTGCTTTCCAAAGTGGTTGTGCTATGTTACCTTTTTAACAGCAGTATATAAGTGCTGCAGTTGCTTCATTTGGTATGATTATTATTTTTAATTTTAGTAATTTAACGGGGGTATAATGGTATTTCACTGTGGTTTTAATTTACACTTCCCTAGTAAGTAATGCTGTTGAGCATCTTTTCTTGTGTTTATTTACCATCTGTATACCATCTTGGTTGATGTATCTTTTTAAACATTTTTCCCATTTGTAAATTCAGTTATTTGTGTTGTTATTGAGTTGGAAGTTTTCTTATATATCCCAGATATATGTCCTTTTTTGGATGTGTATTTTGCAAACAGTTTCTTCTAGGCTTGCTTTTTCATTTAAAAAACAGAAGACCAAAAGTTTTTAATGTTAATAAATTCAGTTCATTTTTGTTTTCTTTTATAGTTCATGCTTTATTGGTCATGGTTAAGAAATTTTTGCCAAGCTCAAGGTTATTAAGATAAAAGTTTAAAAAAGATTTATCTTATGCTTTCTTCTAGAAGTTTTATAATATTGGCTCATATTTGGTTACCTGATCCATTTTTATTTAATTTTGTATATCGTGTAAATCCTTCCCAAAGATAAAGATTTAGGTTGATTTTGTTTTGTATTTGGCTGTCCAGTTGTTCCAGAACCATTTGTTGAAAATAATAATGCACTGGATTGCCTTGATATTTTTATTTAAAAATTAATTGGCTGGTTCTGTTTTAGTTTTCTGTTATGCCAGTACCACTACTGCCAGTACTACACCATTACTGTAGCTTCTGTACTACTGTAGCATTACTCTTTGCTGTAGCTTCATAAGTCTTGAAGTAAGATAATGTAAATCCTCTAACTTTATTCCTCTTTTTCTCAGATGTTTTGGCTATTCTAGTTTTTCTTTGAATTTCCGTATAAATTTTAGAATCAACTTGTCAGTTACTACTAAAAGCCTGCTGGGATTTTGAGTTTTAATTGAATTAATAGATCTATGTGAAGAGAATTGACATCTTAATGATATTGAGTTTTCATATCCATAAACAGGATATATTGTTCTATTTACTTAGGTCTTTAATTTTTCTTAGAAGTGCTTTTTCAAGTGTACAAGTCCTACACATATTTTGTCAAATTCATCTCTAAATAGTTCATGTCTATGCTATTTTGAGTGGTACTAGTTATTTTTAAATTTCAATTTCCAATACTTCTTTGCAAGTATATAGAAATATAATTGACTTCTACGTGTTGATCTTGTATACAATAACCTTGCTAAACTCACTTACTACTTCTGGTAATTTTGTAGATCCCGTAAGCTTTCCTACACAGACAATCGTGTCATCTGTGAAGCATGATAGTTTCACTTCTTCCTTTACACTATAGGTGCTCTTTTTTTTTTTTTTTTTTTTGGTCTTATTGCATTGACTAAAACCTACAGTATAATGTTGAATAGAA